AGAGAGAGAGAGAGAGAGAGAGAGAGAGAGAGAGAGAGAGAGAGAGGAAGAGGGAGAGAGAGAGAAAGGGAGAGAGAGAACGAGAGGTTGGCAAAGAGAAAAAGTGCGGGCAAGAAGGGGGTGGACCGCGCGGTTTTCATCTGCGAAAATTAAGGAGGAATCCGCCGCGCGCCGGTAAGAAAGTCCGCGCTAATTAAGGCTGTTTCTTCGGAGATTTCCTCTTTCGCGGCGCCGGCCGGCCGGCCCGAGCTTTTAAATAAATTATACCGAGTTAAAAGCCTCTCTTCGCACTTCCTCAGATAATCCGCGGGGCCGTTTCGCTTCCGAAGTTATACCCGGGGGAGAAATCTCGGGGGTGGAAAACGAGCGACGAGCGTTCCCCGCGTTATAGGTATGCCGCAGCGCTATAATGCACCGAGTGATCTAGCGCGGAATACTTCCCGTTGCAATTACGTTGTAAAGCAAATAGAATGCTCGCCCAGCTGCTCTCATCGCCGGCATCTGTACGAAAATATGATGGACGTTTATCAATTCGATAGTTTGCCGAATTTTGGACGACGTTCGATCTCCCTTGCTTGACACAATAACGCGTAATTGAATTTATCATTGGAAATATGAAGTGTTTTGTGTCGATTTCCTCTTAAACGGGGAAACATCGAAATAATTTTCGGATTGCACACGATTGAACATAAAGAGTTCCTCCAAATCCAAGGTCTGTATTAATAATTACTTAAAACTCGTACCTCTCAAGTGAGGTATTCAGATTCGAATTCAGATTCGGATGTGAGTTTTCCAGTTGAATCACGATTACAGATATAAATGTCACGTATATCATAATCCAACTGAAAAATGACTTTGATCTATGAATAAAAATTTGAATTTGTCACATGAGACAATGTTTCAAGTGCAATTATTAATAATACGTCTAAATTTAGAATATACGAACAAATAATGAAACCTTATCCTTCTATAATCTCTCTCTTTCCGTTTCACAATCCGTTGTACTTTCTTTTTTATTTCATCGATTGTTCTTTTATATTTTTAGTTGTATATTCTTAGTTTCGAAGATAGAAGTTTGAATATCAAGGAAAAAATAGTTATCAGACTTTGAGAGGATTAAACTTCTCGAACTCTTTGAGGCGTCTGATTGATCCTTGAAGAAGGGACGCAGCTAGGTCGTCGCGGCGCGGGTTCGACGATGAAAATTTTACATAACGTAGGAAACGTCGGTTAAGAGCAGTTGTAAACATGCCGGTCGGCTTTTCGGGATTTCGAATTGTTCGTTCTTTGTAAGTAAGGCGCCGTCGACCGACAACGAGTCGTCGTTAAGGCCATTGTTCTCACGGTTCTCCCGGCGCGTTAAGAACGTCTCGACGGCTTCGCCACCTCGAGTTAAGTAGATGTTTCTCGGGACGTCGGGTGCATTTTTAAATAATTCGATGCAAAGCAGCCAAGAAAAGACGCGAATTCTCTCCGGGTACCCTTACTCGTACTACCCGGGCACGCGGGAGGTGAAAGAACGAATGGAATTTCCATGGGATTCGCGCTCTTCCTCGCGGCAGACGTGGCTGGAAAACGCGAGCGATTCGGAGCGACTTTTACAACTTAATTTTTGCGTATTTGCGAGGTGCGACAGTGCGGGGCAGAGGGATGGGCAGGAGGGTTTGGCTTCGCGGGAGAAAAGTAAATTTTCCAACGCGTTTGCTCGCGCACACACTTCGCGCGTTCGTAAGCGACGTGCCGTTGCTGGATTAAAGACAACATTTTATTAATCTTTTATCTAATAATCTCGTTTACTACAAACTTAAATCAAAGACATTTAGACTTGCTTGATCAAATTTTTATCAAACACCGAGTAGGCGTTAAATTGTGGAAAATTGAAAAATCGATTTCGATTCATCGTCAATAATACGGTTTGAGAAAAATTTTTTTCGAGAATAAATCGTTAAGATTTAATATAAAATTCTCTAGACATTTCTAAATTGTCAAAGTTACTTTTCTAATCAATTGTGAAATTATTATATTTTTTAAATCGTACGATATAAATGAAATGTAAATTTCTTTTTTTTTATTTTAAAGAAAAGTGATCATTTTTTAAACCAAGTTAATTACAAATGATTATAATAAAACATATAAAACTCTTATGTATTAGAATTTCAATTTCGCGATAGTAGGCCCCTAAGTTGACACAGTTGGGGGCACGCCTTGAAAGGAATAACGTTGAGCGTTTCGCGTGCGAAAAGCTACGTTACTTTATCAGTATACGAAAAAACGCGAGGCATTGCTCTTCCTGATTATAATTTATGGCGCTTATCTCGATCTTATGTTTTCCAAAGGATATACGTTGCGAATCTTCTTCGCTATCTAAATCTAGAGAGTTTCTTACGAGCTGACTATCAAGTAGCGAAGATAGATGTTAAGTCAGACGATGAGATATCACCTGGTAGGGATAGCCGCAGTGCACTTACTAATATCAATATAGATAAATTCTCCAAATAAATTTACAGATCTCGATGTTTGCCATAACATATAAAGACGAGAGAGAAATAAAGAGACGAGAGAAAGGTGAAATTAATTCGATAAGACATTCGAGGAATTCCGAAGTGAGTTATTTCGAAATGTCGTCACATCGCGGTTATTTCGTGCTCTACGTTATTTCTAAATTCCACAATTTGCACGGACTATGAAAGCAAATTGCTAGTACAGATTACTATATATATACTATATATATATATATATATATATATATATATATATATATATATATATATATATATAAATAAGACGGCGGTTCCGAATGGGAGCTGACTATCAAGTAGCAAGGATAGATGCCAGGGCGGACGGTATTAACCACTCCACCTATTGGTATTGGCACGTGCGCTCGGAGAAAATATCGCCGAGTCGAGAATTCGCGAATAAATCTAAATAACCTTCGTATCGGAATACCGCGGTCTTTCGTATCTCGATCCCGCGTATTTATTAAGAGTAGCAATGGTGGGAGGATAGATAGGATTTCTTTTGCCCCCCTCTCCCCTGTATGCGCTAACAGATATATCATGTTTTATTTCTCGCTGCCTAATAAAAGAGGAGAACACTCGGAAGAAACTCGGAGATACAAAAGGCCTTCGTAATGTAGACATACGGCTCGTAATGTACGCGACATGAAACGTACATTTTGCAAAATGCATAAATATCACCTGACGCGCTACTAAATAATACCCAAATAAACGAGGATATATACGTAAAAGTAAGGCCTGTGACGAGAGACTCTCGAAAAATCCCAAGTAACATCGGCTGGAAAGGCACAAGATTCCTCTCAAACACTTTACACACCGTACAGTGCATTCTTTGAAAACACGGGACACGTGGGGATAATGTTGTTTTATTTATACATTTCATTCATCAACATATTCCAGTTAAAGTATAAAATACTCATTAAATTTATACAATCCATCAGATTACGTGAATCAGTGTAGAAAATTCGAAACTAACAGTATGGGTTAACTCACGAACTTCGTTCGTATAAAGATCAATTTGCAAATTGAATACTTGAGATTGAACGTTGCAATTTGCAAACGCATTTCATAAAATTTGTATTCGCATATATTCCGAAGCACATATCGCTCGTTTTTTCAAAGTTACACGTGTCATTCATTATTTTCAAATCCGAGCATTTCTCGTAAGTCAGTTGCTCGTAACTTGAGAAATATTAAGTAATTTTCACGTGGTATCGTTTATCGCGCAAAACCACCGCCTCGAGTACAATTCGTGAACGAACAGTGAATGCCTCCATCGATACATTGAAGTCGGCACAATCTTTTGTAAACAGAAAATTATAAAAATACCAATACGCACCTTTTCAATCTGTTGCAAAATTTACTTATCTTTGTCACCTGTCTCGTCTTTTCATATCGACGAAAGCGAAAACAATGCGCGAACGTTTCTTCCCTTTCATTCCCTATCGTTCTATGTCAGTCCAGGTCCAAAATCTCGCCAGGAACGAAACTATCTGTGTGATTCTCCTTCTGGCCTCTGTCGATGTGACCTTCGGGCGACAGGTCCTTGCCGGTGAAGCGGTTTCCAAAATTCAGAAAATCCGCGTCGCATGGGCTGCCGGCCTGCGCAGGTTCGGAGAAACATTCTCTTTCACGTCGCACTGGCCGTAATTATTCTCAAAGGTTTTTACTTGAAGCAAAAAGCTGTCCGCGTCGTCGTTCTCCGTTGACTGTCGGAGCAATCGTCGCGGCGACGGCACAGTTGCGCACTGCTGCAAGACGTTGTCGCAGAGATCCACCGTGAGGTCCATGTCCTACGGCAAAACGTTAGACATTCTTAAATTGTTAGGCTCGAAATTTATCAAACGTCTTAAGAATCTATCGTTAAAACGATTCATTCATTACTTACAAGTAAACCTACTTAAAAGGTACACTTCAATTAATAATAAATACAAAGTAATTAAAAATGAAATAAATACATAAAATAAATAATAAATAAAATAATAAATAGTAATTAAGTAATAATACATAAAATTGTGTAAGATAAATAAAAATAAATAAAAATATAATAATAAAACAAGTAAATAAATAAAAATAGATAGTCCACGCACTACTAGTTGAAAAAAACCTCGACGGTCGTCTTTTACTTACGAATTTAGTCTTATCGTCGACAACTTCGACGACATCGCCCTGTTCGGTTGTGGTGATGATGCCAGTGCCGAGCTTTTTGCCGAGTATCTTCACCTCTTTCCGACATCCCTCGGTCGGCGCGTCGATTGTGTTGGGCACGCAGGTGTTCGTCTGTATAGCCGTGTTTTTGAGGAACTGCTCGAAAGGGCTGAGGATCCTGGCGTCTTGATAGTGCGGAATGATCATGTCGTGATGGTGATTTTTCGGTCCCAGAATTTTCACTTCGTTGTAACCGGAGAATATCTTCGGAGGTGGTTGGCAAAACTTGTCGCTGTAAAACTGCAAGGTTCCCGCATATAATATTATTTCAAAAGTGGTTGTTCTTAAGATCAATTTTATCTACGTACTTTGACACTTTGATTTCCCGGATCGAGAATATTCATGTCCGATTGACCAAACGGTATCAAGCCGGTATCGCAGTCGTCGTCGAACATAGATGACAGTCTCATCTTCGAATCATATTCTGAATGGTGATCTTCAACGGGGGAGACACCGAGAATATTCAGATCCTCCGCGAAGCTCTGACCGCTCTTCAAATATGGCAGTGTCTCATTTAATAACGACATTGGCGGATGGCTCTTCGTTAATAGAGACGATAACGAGGAGTGCGAGCTAGTAGATAGATTCGAGGATTGACCCAAGATGCTCGTTAGATCTTGCTGGCTCGTTGGCAGGGTCATCGCTACGAACATACGAGAATTATGAACATACATTCGGAAACTGACTTTATCGTATACGAGGGACTTGATTTAAAAAAAAAAACATCTTAACACTCCGCGTACATTGTAATTTTTTAAGACACACAGTACAACCTGGGTCTGTCGAACAACTTTGAACTACAACAACTTTATTGAATATTCTTGCACTTAATTATTTCAGAGGTTCAGTCAAAGTCTAAGCCATAAGATAGAAGCGTAAATCTGCAAAGAGATTTGCAGTGTTTTGAAATATTCTCGGGTTCTTTACAAAAATAGGCAAGCAATCGAATATTCGTTCGGAATCAATAGACTCAATATTGTACGCGAAGGGTTAAATATATATTTTCGCAAAATTGGACATCGCGTGTCAACTTTGTACTCTTTATTGTTTACGCAACTTTCGCTTTCCACAAAAACGTTGATTTAAGATGGGTTCGAAATATATTTCTTTTTAAGTGTTCTTTTTATGTGCCTTTTTTCAATCTTTTTCCGAAATCTAATTTTAGGTAATATAACCAGCGGAATGTTTCTCGCTAAATTAAAACTATTGATCGAATCTCCAAGATACTATATTTAAGCGAACTATCAAATAATTCTCTATATATTTCAGTATAGATACAATACTGGAATATATTTCAAGAGACATACGCGGCGACATCCCAACTATTTTTATAAATTGAGACATTATCGCAAATTCACGTACCATCTCCGTGTCCCGCCAACGCGCTATCACCATCGATACCCAGCGATTTGGGACCGAGCACGAGATCGTCGATTTTGGTGTGGGAAAGGAATGTTATGCCATCCACGAAACGATCGTCGAGGCTTTTACCCTCGAGAATCCTAATGTCTTTGTCCTCAAGAATTTCGATGCCGTCCATTGACATAGACTTCTGGCCGGATTCCAACACCATGATCTGATTATCGTTGTCGCCGATAATGACGTCACCGTTATTGCGTATATTAGCGAGATTGATAGCGTCCGCCTGTTCGCCGTCAAGAATCGTTACGTCGTGGGAATTCTGCGCCATCAAGTCGCGAGCTTCACTGCTCGTCATAATCTGCAACCATACACACGCGCGCGCGCAAATAGCACGGTCGAGTTGTTAAAGCTAATATACGCAGTTCCCTCAATTACTCATTGCAATAATGCCTGTTTAAACGCACGCAATCATTGCTTTGATTACATTTCATATCCACGGAAATTGGAAAAATTGGTAATTTCACTCAATTGCGCTTCACAAAGATGATTGAAATTTAGATTTAAAATATATATGGATATGTGTAAAGTCAGATCGATAGAACGGAAAACAGAAGATACATGAGATTCCAAATAGAATTTTCTCCGACAATTCTATCAACAAGCATGGAGATTAATTAGCTTTTCCGTGTTACTTAAGAGAGAATCGTAAAGGGAATTAGAATTTAATCAGGACTTTGATAGGATTCAGAGTCTATCAATAGATGTTAGTCGGATCCCCAGAGCTAATTTGAAGAAGCAAAAGACAAATTCCAGCTAACGCTCGACGAGAACGTTAGGCGGCACGTCTCGGCAAACGTGGCAGTGGGGTGCGGTTCCCTAAATAGAGAAATCTATGTAAAGGAATGTAGGCATCTGACGTGAATGCCCTGAATGTCGTATACAGTAGGTCGAAAAGTCGACTGGAAAGATGTTGACAGCGTAACGCCAATTCCGCGTGGAAAAGTACGTCGTTTATATGAAGATAAAGATTTCGAGAGAGAGAGAGAGAGAGAGAGAGAGAGAGAGAGAGAGAGAGAGAGAGAGAGAGAGAGAGAGAG